GTTAAGATCAGTTTCTTGGATAGGGATAAACCATAGGGAGCTTCTATGGGAGTCACAGAATCATGCAAGAGCTGGTGTGCGCACCCCAGAAGAAAAGATCTGTAATCCTTTTCCATCACTGAGAAGTGGTAGGAATTAACACGGTCATCTGTCTGTATTTCACTGATATTAACCAGTAGGTAAGAGATAATGGGATGGAAACATCACACCAGATGATTTTTCTGTTTATGATGTTTGTCCTTTTAGATCTGTGGGATTCTACAAACTGTCCCAAAAGAAAGGCCAACATTTTTAAAAGCGGGCCCTTCAATTCCTGTTCAGCCACCTAAATAAGTGGCCTGAGATTTCAGCCGTACTGAGAACCCACAGCTTCCATTCACAGTCCCCGGAGAGTCTTTCCAGTGCTTTCAACAGCCTTTGGCTCAAGCCCCCAGTGCCCAGTGTGTCTGGGATGTGCAGAAAGGCACTCAATCCCCGGGGCTCTAGCTATGGACTTTAACAAAAGCGGGACTGGACCTTTATAAGAGACCCATCAAACTCATTTTCATTTCTGACCTAAGTCAGGATTTCAATTTCCAGTCAAAGTGCACTAACTCCCTCCACTTACCAGTACCAGCATTCTGTTCCGTCCATTTTACTGACACTGGTTGTGTTCTTAAAACCAGAGCATTATTTTTATGGGTCACATGTTTAACCCTGGGGTATTCCATTGACAAATATCTTCTAGGTGCTGGGGGCTCTTTTCAAAAGAAAATGTAGCATAGGTACAGAGCAAGAAAACGGCAACAGAGAGAGACGAAACAAAGGGCTCCAAATAGCTTTGAAGTTCCTAGCAAAAAGAAACAAACCCCCAAACCGAAATTTTAGACTGGCTATTCAGCCCTTAAAGTGAGTGGCTAATGCTCAATGGACTAAAAAAAAAAAATACAGTAAAACAGATACAGATATTAATTAGTGAAGTATTTTGAAGTTAAGTCATGAGAAATTGCCCCTTCCCGAGATGTTTAAGAGGCTGAAGTGCTGGTTTTAAGCCCCTTTGTGATACGTTCAGAATACAACCCCGCTGTCTGGGGCGTGCACTGCAGGAACAGCTATGGAAGCCGTTGCTTTCTCATGGACAGAATCAGAGAGTGTTCAGCGCTTAGTGACAAAGAATGTGGCTTGAGAAAATAAGGCAGTGTCTTTGTTTATTGGTTGCTTTTTAAGGTGGAAGTTTGATGTGTACTGCAGCAAAACTCTGCAGAGAAAGTTCCAGGAGGCCCACACAGCCTGACTCTGTGTGTGAGGAAGGAAGGAGACGCTGGGTACATACAAAAAGAAGAACAGGAGTACTTGTGGCACCTTAGAGACTAACAAATTTATTAGAGCATAAGCTTTCGTGGACTACAGCCCACTTC